AAAGCAATTAAAGTTCAGGGTAAACAAAACAGAGCAATGTTCATGTGTGTGTATAAAGTTAAATAAGGAAATGACGGTGATTCAGAGTGTCTGGGTGAATGAGTTTCTTGCAACAATCATAAATGAGAAGTTGGAACAGTTTCACAGCCTGTAACATGAAGGTTTGGTTTCTAAAAAGTACTGAAGGACTTACATTATTGTACTTTCTAATTATACTGTATTGTTGGAATATTGTTACTCTGTGGAAGCCCATCCTCAAACAGGTCACAGAGCTCACAAGACCCCAGACAGAAGACTGGATTTACTTGACCCTAAGGAGCTGTTATTGTTTAAAATATCAGGGTTGAAAGATGGAAATATGCATGACACTGCAGGAGAGATGAAAAGCAGTCCTGTTTCTGTATACAGCCTACAGAAGTGTGAATGTTTGTGTGATCAGTTAAGGAATAAACAGTGATTATGCTGATGCGTTTCTTCCTTTTTAAAGTGTCTGGCAGCCTTTTTAATGAGAACAGTGGAGAAGAGGTTAAATGTACATATGCACACACCCTGTCACAGAGCTGTATGAACATATACTCTATACATAGTAACCAAAATAGAAACCTCCACAATGGTGGAAGTACTATAGTAAAAGAAGTGTGGCACAGGGAGGATAAATTATTATATAAATGTAAATTACTTAGTGTGCTTTACATTGTTATTTTTCCACAATAGAGATGGGTAATACATAGAAAGAAAAAAAATTAAATGACTTGAATTGAGAAAAAAAACAAAAATTTAATCAACATATTGAGTCAACTGTAACATCTGAATACCACATGCCTGGAAATAAGTTAGCAAGCAAGCAAAGAAGTTGAACCAGTTAGCTAAAAGTAATGCATGGACAGTTCAAATAAATAGCCAAAAGTAAAGGATAATTTGGTTAGCTAAAAGCTATGAAGAAATAGTATTTTATATAGATATATAGACAGATAAAGAGATACAGTTGTGCCTTCAAGGAACATACATGGAGAAACAGAAATTATTAGAAAAGATTAGTTGAGGTTTTAGTTAAACCTCTGAAACAGTGACCTCTACAGGAGTTAAGATGACTTTACAGGAAACAGCAGCTGGTTCGGACTAAACCTTAGGTGCAGTTTAAACCAAAGGTTCTGTGGATGCAGCAACGGAGGTTAAGTGGTCATGTGACTTAAAAAACCAAAAAACCAAAAACAAGACAAGAGCAACCTTTGGTTATTATTCCAAGACAGCACTGCCACAAAACTAGAGCCCAAAAACAAACCAAGGAATTGAGTCAACATGCAAACAACTCCAGTAGTAGTCGTGTCATTATTGAGTACCTTATAATACAGTTATTATAGTTAGTACTGTCATACTCTGTCAAACCACTTACCTTCCATGATGACTGCTGAGTGTCTTTGGATTTTCCACCACCAGCTACACTTACTTAAAGACCCACAGATCTTCTCCACAACCACATTTTATCCTGTCAAACTTGTGTGAAAGGGAGCCTTCATTAATGTTATTAGTAGCACCTGTGCTTCTCCTGCTGTTAATTAGTGCTTTATTAAATACAGGTGTGGTCAGCCCATTAAGGCCTATAGTAATGCAAATAAAAAGTATGTTTTCTGCTGCAGCTGCTTTTCCAGCCAAAAATTAACTCTCAATTAATTTATGCATATTTTACTATGGGTTGAGATTTATGGGTAGACACAAGTGGTCAAGATTAAACCTTAATGATAAAATATGTTTAGAAATTTAAGATATGCTAACATGAGGGATAACAAGGAGTGGCTTATACAGATAAATCTTCTATCATTGATCATTAAGGCTGCAATATAAAATCATTTCATTACCAATAAATCTGGTGATCACTTTCTCGGTTACTAGATTATTTTGCCTATAAAATATCATGAAATTGTTAAACATTTTTCCCAAAGCCGTAATGTGACATCTTCAAATTACTTTGTTTTGTCTGACCAACAGTCTAAATCCCAAAGATATTCATTCAGTGTTCATAGAGGAGTCATAAAATCTGCAAATTTTGACATTTAATAGGCTGAAGTGAATTTGGGGAAAAAAAAAAAAGACTTATCTTTATAAATTCTTTTACATTGTGGCCTTTAGTAATAATTCTTCCACCACTGCTGAAATTGAATCAGCTAAATGGAATTCAACCATCATTATTTCTATTCTTTACACCTTTTCCTACTTTCCCTCCCTTGACATGTCAAAATGTCTGCCGTGAAAAAGGCCTCTATGGTTTCTCAGTGCAGAGCTGAATCACAGAGCACGATTTATTGATCAGCCTTTACCAATAAATGTCCCTCCCTGTAGTGACATTTCCTCGATAGATGGTCAATGCATCATGAGCATTATTGCCCGGCCCGCTGCTTGTCCTTTTAACCCCGCAGACTGCACTGACCATCACATGAACTTTACATGAACCCTCCACACACAGCCATGACCGGGTCACACAACGGTCAATGATCGGACACACCGGGACAACAGTACTTAATGACTTTATTAATAATATGATTTCAAAATAAAAAATAACATTAAAATAACATGTTTTGTCCTTGTTAACAACTTGCATCATATGGCCACATGGTGGCATTGTAATGCCAAGTTTTTATTTTTAAAAATACCAAATTGTTCTTCTGCCATCCAGTTCATTTGTTCTGCCCGACGTTTGTAGCTTTGACCACATATATGGACACATTTCAGACCCCCCCCCCTCCCCCGCCTTTTACACCTCAGTTTAAACAAAAAAGAAAAAAAAAAATCAAAACCTTTATAAATACAGGCAACCCTGTCCCCTTGTCACAGACACATTATGACGACCACTGACACAGGAAACACCCCGTCTGCACATGCCCCCTCCCTCCCCCCTCCACATATTTGCAACAAACCATTTGCTCTATATTTTTGCTTTTTCCTTGTCCTCTTAAGATCCACACAGTAGATATTCTACCCTTGCTGTATTATACACTTATTATATATAATATAGTTGCAGCTGAAATGCTCCACTCCCACAGATCTGCTCATAGAGTTGTGAAGTGGAAGGAGTGTTTTTCTCCATTCTGTGTTCCCATAATCAATTTTTACTTTCATCACTATCCTCAGTGTTACGTAACAGAAACACAGGACTCTCCTGAATAATCTAACCATCATACAGGTTTATTTAATGACTACCTTTTCAGTTATTTCGACTTTGTTTCAAAGAAATCTTGTTTTATCTCTTTTTATTTTAGGCATAGTGGACGGCTCTAAAATACTACAATACCCACAAGCCTCAGCCCCCACTGCCATTGAGAAGAAACGAGTTGGGTGTGCGAGTCAGAACAGCAGTGAATTCAAAATGATTCCTTGTCACAGTTGTTGATAAAAACGAGGCAACATAGTTACTGAATTCATCTAAAAGTGACAAAAAATTTAAAAGTGAAGATTTAATCTGCAGAATTTTGCCAAAATGCCTCTTGGGAGTTGTAGTTAACCAGATATCTTCTTATGCATGCCTGTGATAACAGCAGGACAGAGAGGACTGAACACTGAAGGTTTTACACAACAAAGATTACAACTAGACAGATGAGAAAATCACCTAAGAAGAGAGTTTTATGGAAAGATAACGTGGACAAAACCATGTTACAATGATGTAACTACAAGCGCTGCTGTGCTTGTAGTTTATTTTAATGAGAGCAGTTTTTCCTGTGCTCAAAAAATAATTGTTTAATTGTTGTTGTTGTTAAAATAACAAAAGTTTCAGTTTCTTATGGCTAGTGCAAGAGAATATGGAAAGTAAACTCCAGGAACACAGAAAGATTGATGAAAAAAAATGCTAAATGAAAGATTGCACTGAGTTACAGAAGCTAATGGAAGAGGCTAGCCTGGACGGGACTTCAGATCCAAGCTGTAACAGTGCTCACATTGTCACATAACGATGTCTATAGGAAAAATGAATGGCTTAAAACAGCTCCACAACTTCGCAACTCTATTGTTTCCTATTGGTGTGTTTCTTCAGGCTCACTCTATCATAACACAATAAAATTATGTGAAGATGACAGTTTTTGTTTGGGTACAGACTTCTATTAATGAGTAGAAAAATAAAACAAAACAAATCATAACTGAACATGACACAGAAAATAAAACTTTTAGCTCAACAGTTTTCAGTTCCCTGAACCGAAGTGTGGACTCCTCATGTCCTCGTTCTGGTCCAGTTATTTGTACTGGAAGCAGAGGGTGATAAAGTTTAGCTCATCCACCAAACATTTTCCAACACCTGCTTCTTGGTGTTCAGCTGTCATCAGAATCATGATACACAAAAACATACAAGGAACATCCCCATAACATTTTACGCCTAAAATAGATTCAACGGGCATGTTTGTTTGTGAATAATAGTGACCAAACATGCTGAAATAAAGACAATTAAATAAGAAACAAACAAAGTTTTGCAAAGAAAAAAAAAATCAATTCATATTGTATTGCATGTAAATATTGTATAAAATCCTTAAAAATACAGTTCAGGTAACTACTTAAGTACTGAAGTCATCACAGCCAAAAGTGCAGAGGTCCATAAATAAAACATTGACTGTGGATAGACAGTGGGTCTTCTTTCGAGTCCTCACGCAACTCCCCCTCTCCACCACCAAAAGGGACTGAATGAGTGCCTGGTCATAGGTCAGAGTTCATGAACTAGGACTTAAAAGTTCCCACATCGATGCACAGAGAAGGGGACAGGAAGGAAAGTTGTGTTTTTTTTTTTAATTCTCTCCTATCGCTGACAAACACACTCGCAGATTCACAAACGTCGCTCACACAGTTGCAAAGTTCATTCTCAGTAATCACGGCCTGAAGTTCTGTTGCCAGAGGCACACCTAGAGAAAATGAAGGGGAAGAGGTGAGGGCAGGAAGGGGGGGGTAGGGGGGGGTTACTGCAGGGCACATAAGGCGGCAGGGATCCAGGTTTTCTTTTATGCTATTTTCCGTGCTCAGACGGCGTTTACAGTAAGGGCAGAGGGAGTGTGTACATGTCACTGAGCCAGGCAGGCAACAGAAGAACGGAGCGAAGTATTAAAGCTATCGAAGCGTCAGAATAAAAACACTGTTGGCAGGAAGAAAACTGAAGAGGAGGGGAGGGAGGCAGGGAGGGAATCTTTCATTGAAGCTTTGTACCACAGTGGGTTGGTGTGTGTGTGCGTGTGTGTGTGTGTGTGTGTGTGTGTGTTTCTGTGTGTTTATGTGTGAAGCCTAAGGGGCCACAGGAACTAACACACCAGGGGCCTGAATCACAAAGCAAGCTCACCTCACTCTGGCTTTCTTTGAGCTTTCTGGCTTCACAAAACCTAACACTGGCAATCCTGGAAACCAGTCTCACTAAGCTAAGCTTACCAAAGTACGCACAAGTTTGTTTACATTAATGAAGTGAAATAAGAAGCCAATCAAATGCCACATCAACAGCCAAAGAGCAGTGTAATTACTGCAAGATCAAACTTTTGATCCCTGTGGGGAAATCAGGTTGTTTGAGTGTAAAAGGTGATATTCAGATTTAAAAAGATACAGAAGATAAGTAGGCAATTATATTATATTAATATAAATAGTAGAAAATAATAACAATAATAATCAAATGATGAAGTTAATAGTCAATATGCAAAAGTGGGAATTATAATATAGTTATGCTTCACTGTTTTATATTAATCATAACAATAATAATAACCTAACAATCGTTTGCAATTTTTCAAGCAATAAAAATTCAGCTTCTCTGTAAACCGAATATCTTTGCTTTTTAGGCGGTTGGTCACACGATACAAACTTGAAGTCGTCACCTCGGATTGATGCTTCTCTCTGGATTTCGTGATGTAACATGGTTAAAGGGATCCAGCATTATGAGACTGGTCAGCCTGATCTAACCTGGTAATCTTGCTTCATGATGCAGGCCCCTGAGAAAGACATTATAAATATTTAGGGAAAGAAAACACAAGGAGTGCTTTGTTTAGCTTATATTTCTGCCTACATGTCCTCTGTTGATGCTGCTCAAGTGCTGCTAACTTGGTATCAAACGCTCCACTGTTGGTTCAAATACTTCAAACCTCTTGAAGAAGGAACCCCGACCCTATTCAATGACAACTGTCTCACAAAACACACAATACAGCTGAAAGCAACTGTTACTAGGGCTAATTAATGTAAGTAACTACCACAGTCACCTGACGCTTCCTCTTAAGAACACTGACTCTAATCTCAGAAAGCAAGAACATAAGAACATGACCACCATCAATGAAAAATAGCTGTCTTGAAATTTCTAGCGGGCTTGATTAACAGAAATATCACTGATAAAAAGGACAACAGCCAACAAAGACACTGGAAAAGGAGAATCAGGGATGAAAGCCATTAAGACAATACTGGATATTCAGGCATCCCACTTAACACTTGTATCCCCGAGGGGGGTATTTTTTTTTTGAGGGAGGGGGGTTCAATCTGTGTGACCATGGCTAACAGAGCGCACACCCCCCCTCACACTGCAAGTCGCAGAAAAAGGCACTAGAGTGTGGCTGTTGCTAGCCGTAGAAAAGTAAAAGCGATATACATTCATAGCTCACAGGTTATCTTAACCGCAGTCTGGGAATAAATACACAAAATGCACTTGTAGAAAAATAAAATGTAAAAAAGCGTGGCCCCTATTTTATTTTTCTTATTTTTGGATTCTGGGAGACAAGTATGGCTACTTTTTCACGGCTTTTTTTTTTTTTTTTAACCCCCCCACCCTACCCACCACTTAGAAGGCAATTCAGGAGGGATCCTCTACTGCTCTGGCCGCGAGCAGTCGAGCCCTTTCATGCACGCCAATATGGGAATAACAGGGGGGAGGAGGAGAGTGGTGAAGAGGAGGGATGGAGTGAGGGGGCTTCAGTGGGAAGGGGTGGGGGTGGAGGGGCTGTTGGTAGGAGGTCAAGGCTCAGCTTTCAGTGCGAGGAAGTAGAGGGGGAAACTCAACAGAACATATGTTTTCAGATGTTCAGACAACAGAGAAACCTCATCCGAAACAGTCACACACACAAACACACAGCACACGTCTCAGTGTCTTCATGTACAGTGTTAAATATAAGGACCTGGGAGACAAACATGTGCATGAATCTGGCCACCACTTTCCTTTAACCCCCCCATGTAGCGTTGAAAGCACTAAATATATAATAAACACACTTTGATGTAGTTGTTAGCAGCTACAGGGGCGTTTTCAAGTATTTATTAATGTACATTATCTGTCAGCAGTTACAATTTATATTACTACTAAAGCCTCAACCATTAGCTGATCTGCAACTGTGTGGATTATCCATCTCAGTCAAATTCATGCTTCCAGTTTCCCTAATGTGAAGATTTGACCATTATAATCAGTATTACATTATTGTAAACTGAACATGTCTAAGTTTACACCTGTACAGCTGTGTTGTATTCACTAACCGTTTCTTATGGGTGCTCACACAGGGAGACAGTTGTTGACAAATACCATGTTCACCCAAATATAAGACGATATTTTTTCTTAAAATAGTTTGAAAGGTGGTGTTTGTCCCACCAGAACAAGAGAATCATGTGCTCATAACATTAGATATTCTTTTTGAATTGAGTACCGCTGTAACACCAGCTCCTACAGAGTGATGAATTATGGGTTGTTTACTGCCTTAATGTTTGCTTGAACAACGAGCGTCTTCAAGTCTGTTTATCGTGTCTGTTAAGAGTCAGTCAGCAGTTTCTGGAGGCTGTGTTTTACTGTGAGGAAGTAAATTCATCACGAGTGAGAACTAGTCTTTCCTGCAGAAATTAACCAAGGAGAAAATCTGTCCAGCAGCCAAAAATTACCACTGTCACAGCAGCTCAGAGACAATCATTTTGGCCGCTTACAAGACCCTGACACAAGAAAGTAAGTATGTAACTGACGTTCAGCTTTAATGGCATCATTTTGTGTTTCACTTTTTCCACAGAAAAAGCTTCGATGGTGAGGACTCTCTTCCCTAACTGGACTAGTGTGAAAGTGTCTTCTTCCAAAAACATTATCGGGTTAGTCTTATATTCAGGCCAATTTTGTACATTAATAAACACTTACACATACTTACAAGTACATTACACTGTGTTATAAAATATTTATTTAATGCTAATATAGTGCCTTGTAAATGCTAAGTGTGGGGGGGGGTTAAACTAAAGTGTTACCTGAATGTATATTTGTTTGGCGTGTATGTGTTTAGGTGAAGGAAGGAAACCGGCTGTTGTTTGTGCTCAAGCGTCACGAACAAAGAGAAGTCAGTAACCACAAAGACAACATCTCCTCTTAAACCTCAGCAGTGCTCGCATGCACACGCACGCTCACACACACGCACGCTCACACACACACACACACACACACCCACACACACACACACACACACACCCACACACACACACACACACACACCCACACACACACACACACACACACCCACACACACACACACACACACACCCACACACACACACACACACACACCCACACACACACACACACACACACCCACACACACACACACACACACACCCACACACACACACACACACACACCCACACACACACACACACACACACCCACACACACACACACACACACACCCACACACACACACACACACACACCCACACACACACACACACACACACCCACACACACACACACACACACACCCACACACACACACACACACACACCCACACACACACACACACACACACCCACACACACACACACACACACACCCACACACACACACACACACACACCCACACACACACACACACACACACCCACACACACACACACACACACACCCACACACACACACACACACACACCCACACACACACACACACACACACCCACACACACACACACACACACACCCACACACACACACACACACACACCCACACACACACACACACACACACCCACACACACACACACACACACACCCACACACACACACACACACACACCCACACACACACACACACACACACCCACACACACACACACACACACACACACACACACGACTTGAGAGTATGTCGGGAGAGAAATGAGCTCCAGCTGACAGCAGGGGGAAGGGAACTGGAGTGTTCTGCCGAGTAAGGAGTGTGCGTGTGAAGGAGGAGGAGGAGGAGGAAGAGGAGGAGGGGAAGTATTGGGTTCTCAAAGGCGGGAGCAATATGATTGCAGGAGGGTGAAGGGGGTGGGGTGGGGGGTGCATTCCACTGCTCTGCACAGACTCAAAAAAAGAGATGTGTAGTGAAAATCCTGACTTTAGACGGAGATCAGCTACCCCAGTGCTCCCTTCCACACATCCCGATCCTCCTCCTCCTCCTCCTCTTCCTCTTCCCTCCCTCCCCAGCGTCACGTGAAGGTGGTGTGTCTTCATGTGTGCTTGTGTTTGTTCATGTGTTTCTGTTTGTGTGGTAGTTGTTCGATGGTTCAGTCAGGGCTGCGAAACAGCTGCGACAGATGTAGCTGCTTGTCACCTCCTTAGAGAGGAGAAGCAGTGACGAATCTACCTCCGCCGCCGCAGCCATCCACACGGTGATTTCCACTTCCTGTCACGTGGCCGTCGCCTCAAGGTAGCTCTGTAGTTTGCGGACAGTGGACTCGTCCAGTGAAAAGAGGTCAAAGTCAAAGGTGGTGTTGGTCACGTTGAAGTGGCCCGTCTCCTCAATCAGGTTGACAATCTGACAGATGGAAAGAGAAGAAAGGTCAATTATTGCCTTTCACCATATACACATCACTCATACCACATTACTGTGGTGTGAATATTAAAGTCTTGTTCAGGTACTCTTAAACAGATCCCACATACATGATCCATCAAGTGTACAAAATGCCAGTCACTATTTTTTCCATGTATGAATCAACTCATCACAGTTGCAAAATACAACACGATGGTAATTAAAATAATGTAGAGGCATGAACACACACCTGCTGTAGGACATTACGCTCTCTTAAAGCCATCAGTCTGCGATGGAGGTCCACCAGTTCTTCTGTGTAGGCCTGCAGGGTTTAGGTAGGAGGTTGCAGAGGAGAGTGAACACAGTCAGTATCGTATTAAAGACCAGTGAAGAATAGGAGCAAAATATTGACTGTCAAAAGAAGAATATCAAGATTCAGTGCAGAAAACTGATTGATTTCTAATTCTTAGGTTGCCATGATTTGGGTGGTTTTCTCCCTTTATAGTTGTTGAAAATTGGTGAAAAAAGGAAGATCTAGAAATGACCACTTGGCCCTCTTTAGTTTCATGAAAGTTAATTTTGTGTGCAGGTTTTCTTTAACTGAATCTGTGTCTGAGGATTGGGTTAAACTACAGAAGAAGTGGTTAATACAACATGTTGTCTCACTGTGTCAGAAATTGGGGATGGTGGTGCACATTTTCAAATAGTCTCTCTAGGGAGACATTTATAGTGTTGCACTCATTGATTCACATGACAAGTGATAGAAATGATCAAATCCAACATGCTTTCTCACCTACGCACATCTGGCCAACCGTGGCCTGAAGTGGATTTAAATGTTCCAGACACAGCTGGGGGGGTTTGCCATTTTAGCATCCTGCAAGCAGGTATGATGGCACCTTTTACAGATAAAGCAGGGATTCCAACCGTGTTTTGTAATGGAGAGGCTCACCTCCCTAAGCAACGATTGCCTTCTCTAATGTCAGATGTATTTATTCCATTTTTATGAAATATAAATTAAGGCTTATTACGCTTTAAGGAAAATGAGATGTGGTGCGTCAGGATTTGTGTGATTCAGCTCAGCAAAATCGTGGAGTGATAGATTACATTGTATGTTTCCCTCACAGTGATAAATCCCAGCAGTATGTCCCAATGTGTGGAGAAAGCTGGGAAGAGTAGAGACAATCAGCCCTTGTAGTTAAAATCAGGTGTTTATGTGGGCAGCATTTACCACCTCAGCTAACCAATTTTCTGAGGGAAACTCTGAAGAGGGTTTCATGTGTTGTCTATATTTCAAAACCATCTCATAAAACTGCATATATGCAGTCCTGTGCAAAGGTTTTTGGTTTACTTTGCCTAAAACTTGTGCACAGTACTGTATATAAACATGAGTGACTTTTCAGTGTGTAATTTAATGTCTCAACAAAATCCATCTCCATTAAACCCAGCAGATGTTCTAATGTGAAAGAGTGAGATAGGATCAGTTCACCAGACTTTCACTTTATCACTACTTAAATCATCTTGTACCAGAGAGGGAAGAGGAGATTTCTTTTTAAGGGTTCATAGGCCACAGTCTGTCTGCACATTTGGATCAATTCACTGCCTATTACTGCATCTTGAATTCATTAATGCACTCATTGAACGATGACAAAACGCTGCATGTGTGTGTAAGAGTTTAAACATAAAAAGTTTGATTTACCCTTCCTACCTTGTCGTATCCCTTCTTCAACACCTTCTCTGAGCGAAACGAGGAATCTGGACTCTTTCTGCCCGACACCTGCAGAACAGAGATCAGAGAAGAAGACAAACAGAAAGAAGGAAAGGAGGGGAGAAAAGTACAGAGAGTGAGGGGATACAAAGAAAAGAGACAGAGGCAGTGGCGTGAGACCATGAGACTATCTAGGACACCAGTGACAGTGAATACAGCTGAAATGTAAGTGGAAGCCTGGTGCAGGGCTGAAATGCTGTGGTTTCCATGTCTGCTTGCCAAATGGTTTCAGGCTATTTTGCATTGGGAAGGAACATTAAAAATATCCATTAAAAATAAAGCATCTATTAAAATTCAAAATGAGTCCTCTTTGTCTAAACGAATGGATTGGACTATATTGTTTTGACAGTATTACTCATAAATGACTTTCTCAAACACATGAAACAAATTTCCCTTGTTATTTTACTCTCAAAATCACAGACTTAAACCGTGTAATTCTTTAGGAAAGTCCTGTTCATGTTGGCCATGGATCATGTTGTTGAAGAATGCATGTTACATACTGCATGAAGAAAAACTAACACAATAACACGGTTATAAATAAGCAGAATTGAACCTGAATTGATAAACAGTAGGTCCCACTCTGACTCACTTGGTCCACAACTGTAAATGTTACATGTGTGGTTTTGATGCTCATTTTCTTGTCAAACTATTCCAGCCACTGTCAATATGTCAATGAAAATAGGCAGTAAAATGAGAGGTCTGTGTGACTCACTTTGTTATTGGAGGAGCTGTGTTTCTGTGGGGGCGGCGCAGGGTCTCGACTTGGGCGGTGCGAGCCGTCACTGCTGTCACTCTCACTGTCCAGGCTGAGTCTGAGAGGGGGACAGGGTGAGGTCAGGGGTCAGTCACACACAGACTGACAGACAGAACACATTGTCATACTGCTCAGCATTGTAATTGGATGCATGCATCTGAGATTTTTTATTATTATTATTAGATGCCAAAAAACGTGTTAATCCTTTCTGGTTATGGGCTTCATTTGCCAGGAATCTGCAGTGAAAGTAAAAGAAACCTATGAGAGTAAACAAGACTGATGTGAGACAAAAAACTGGTGAGGTGGGCAGAGAAAAGTTAAGGTGCCTGCAAATTGCAGTAATAGGATTTACTGTAAATAGAGAAAAATAGAAGAAAGCAGACAGTTTGTTTCCATCCAGCTGTTTTTGTGCTTATTTTCAATTTGTGCATAACAAAACCTGAGCGGCAATGCTGAAAATTCAAAATAAAAAGTTGAAATATCACCCCCGAAAAAAGAGAGCGGAGTGCAATGAAACAGACATAGGGAATAAATCATGGCGAACATAAAGCATATGATTTAAAAGTCCACTGAAGCGACTAAAGATGGCGGCAGATGAAACAGCGGATCTGTGTGAAGTGGAGACTGTAACATTCCTCACACTATTACACGAAATCAACATGTCATATTTCTATCATGTTTTCCACACTTTTCTTTCACTCTCTCGCCATACCCTCCTCTTCTAAAGACTTTTAATGGCTTTCAACTGGACAATTAGCACCTCCAACTGTTAATCAATTTTTAATATTCACATAACAATAGTGGATGGAAACATGAATTGATTCACATTTTCTTATGCTGATTTTTTTTGTTTACAATTTGTGCTGAATCTAGATGTAAGCTTTGTTATAGACATGTCAGCAACAATCCACCTGCTCTCCTGTTTGGAAATGTAGCAAAACAATAAGCAATGTGTCTCAAAAAAAAATAAAAAAAATGGAAAAAAATAAAAAAAATAATAAAATTATATATATATATATATAAACATAAAAGAAGAGAGGTGTGTGTGGACACAGTCGCAGCCAGGGAAAAGAGAGCAACATGTAAAGAGTGTGCTAATAAGCCTGTTAGCAGCAGCACTCTGAATGAATGATTTGTGAACATTGGTTAAAGCAACAATTGATTTTTGACATTATGGTGCAGTCTTTGGTTAACACAGTCTAAAACAGCCACAGGTAAATGTGCCTCAGAGTGCTATCTAGACCAGGACCACTGTTTCCAACCGATGAAAGCCCAAAATCACACAGTCTAAAAGGGTCTATAGGGAGACTGACCGAGAGTCGCGGTTGGGGGGGTTGGTCTTGATGGGGGTCTCCTCCTCTGAGCTGCTGTCGTCATCGTCTGACTCTTCTGACTGGATCTCCTCCACCATGGACCGTAGGGGGCCTGGGACAGAATCACACACACTATAATACTATTGACCTGTAAAATCTCAATTCATCCTGCCAATTCTCTATCAGACATAGAGCAGTGGAATAAATACCATCATACTGTAACCCAACCTTCCTATGTCACAATCTTCAAATTTAGGCTTAAAGCTCATTTGATCAGCCAAACTACTTGAATTCTACCTCCTTCTCTCTTTTCTAGATCAGTTTGTATGCCATCCTGATAGCAGCAGCTAACATATGTATCTCATGTTTATTTTATTGCTGGGTCATATAAAGGGGTTAAATTGGACCGGAACTGAGCTCCGCCTTCTCACATCCAAATTGCATTCTGCTTGAGCTGCACTCCATTTCCTTCAATATCATATCATCATATCACTTTTGTATTTTTAAAATCTCCCAGTAAATGTAACAGCATATGGGTCTTAATGAGTAATTCTCTAGACTACAAAGAGAGATATTTCGGGTGGTTTCTACACCCAAACCAATGTTAACAACAAGCTTTATAGGTTACTAGCATCAATTATCAGACGTCTGTAATATAAAATGGTCTCTCCATTGCAAGAATCTGAATATGGATTGTACCTTGCCCTTGTTTCTGTCCCGGCTCGAAGTCTGAGTCTGAACTGGAGTCAGAACTGGAACTGGAGTTGGAAGGACTGGAAGGTGCCGACTGCTGTAAGACAAGGAACAGAAGAAAATGACGAGTCAAAGAGAGGAAGGAGATGGACAGAAGGTTGATAAGAAAAGAAAAAGACAGATGAGCTTGTCAGTCTTAAGTTCAAGATCGAGCCCGAGATCAACATGAGGTGTTCTGTTTTTGGCCCCCTTGAGTTACGCATGGAGATATTCTGGAGCCGACATTTGGAATTACATTAGGTCCAATCAAGTGATTGTGAGGATTTGCTTTTCTTTGTCTTTATGTGACAGTAAATTAACTATATTTGCATTTTGAATTGTTGATTAAACAGAAGATATCTCCTTAGGAAACTGTGACAGACATTTTTCACCATTTTATGCAAACCAAACAATTAATTAATGCACCAGGAAATAATCAGCAAATTAAGGGCTAATGAAAATAATTATATGCAGCCCTAGATTAAATGTAACGAAAGATGACAGCATGACATTATAACATTATATAAGATATAATAAAGTCAGAAAGTCAGAAAGATTTCAGCTCTCTAAAGTAGTGAAAGCTCCGGGTTTAGGCCTTGTACCTCTGACTTTGAAGATGCTTCGTCCTCTGAATTCGACTCTTCCGACTCTGGAAGTTTCTTAGGCTCCTTCAGCTCCTGTGTGTCGTTTTTGCTTTTCGCCCAGCGACCTTTTTCCTTGGGAGGCTTCTTCTCAGCGTAGGGCTGGCTAGCTGCAGAAGAGGAGGAGACGCGAGGAGAAGCTCCTGTGAAGGCGCCACTCACCGGCCCCTTTGGCCCCTCAGAGCTGCCCTTCTTCTGCTTCTTTGCGCTGGGTTTGGGAGACTCCACAGTGGAGGGCCGTTTCCCTGGAGCTTTGGACTCTGCAGGCCCTCCCCCACCACCCCCTCCACTCCCAGCCCCCCCCCCTTTAGGGGACATGCCCTCCATCTTTGACTCCTTCAGGGTGAGTTTAGGCTCCTTGAATGCAGCCTTGGGTAAGACCTTTACTTCATCTTTCACTTTGATCTCTGGTGGCTTTTTTGAAGACGAGGATGAGGAAGAGGAAGGATCGCGGCCACTCTTGCTGCTTCCATCTCTGTCATTGTCTCCTTTCGATGTGGTTTTGCTCTCAGAGTCTTTTCGGGGCCGTTCACGATGCTCCTTGGTCAGCTTGTGTGGTTTGGGTCCTTTGCTGCTGCCACCGCTTCCTTCTTTGCTGGGTTCCTGGAGAGAGAAAACAACAGCACTGTCATTGACACTCTTAAAACACTCAGCTTCTCAGGGACTTCGCCAAGGAGTTCAATGACACCATTCCCTCCTCAGTTCCTAAATCAGGCCTTGCCAATCAGGCCTGTATGTAATCAATAATCAAACTAAGCATTTCGGTTGGTATGAAGTTAAAAAAAAATAATTTTCTCAGATTACTCTAAAAAACTGTAAAGAGAAAAACAGTGACCTAAACCTGGCTTTCTATCTAAAAGGACAGAGAGTCTACAGCCATGCTAGTCGCTTTGTTAGGCTGCACTTAACGAAAGTGGGGCCTTGAGCTAAATGTTAACATCGAATGGCAGTGACTAAGTAGGTAGAGTAGTGTAGCGCCATGTATTGCACAGGTGCTGCATGAATGTGTGTGGTCATTAAAAGTAGAAGAGCGCTACATAAATGCAGTCCATTTACCATTTTAACATCAGCATGCTAACATGCTTTATTATTGGTTATATTATGTATAACGTTTACTATGTTCATCATCTTATTTTAGCATGTTAGCATGCTAACATCTGCCAATTAGCACTAAACACGAAGTATGCCTGAGGCTAATGGGAATGTTATTAATTTTGCAGGTGTTTGGTTATAAATCTGAAATTTTGACCTGATAATGGCCCTGGATGAAAAGTGAATGGTGAAGCAAGTTATTACAATTCCTCCTGAGGGGGACATGAATGTCTGTACTAAACTATGTGGCAATTAATCTGGTAATTGTCAAGACATTTCACTCAAAACCTCATGGTGGCACTAGAAGGAAAGTCATTGGGATCATGAAAGTCATTGGCATTCATCCTCTGGCGACCAAAGATCCCACAGCAATCCAAAGCTGTTGAGAAAATTTCTCTCTGGATCAAAGTGGTGAACTGTCAGACTGACATTGCTATCCCTAAAGCCATGCCGCTAGGAGTGGCTAAAAATGTCAGAAAATGTATACAAACTAGAGACCACCTTGTGATGGCCACTCCATGTGCAACACCTGTCAACATGTTGACCCATGAGTGCTCAGTAGTCATTACTACATTGTCACATGAGTACAGTACTCAAGGGTCACACCACACCCATCTTCAAACTTCATTTTCATCTCAACTACATGCCTGTTAAGTTTCGTGACTTTCTTGCACGGACGTGACGCTATCACATTCTGGTAATAAAAAGGCATTTCACCCCACTCCACGTCAAAAGTGAAAAAGAGATACTACATCACTGAGCTACAATACCAACAGTATTTACACACTGCTCCTGCTGCCAACTGCCAACCAAGAGCAAACATGAAAGCAGCGAAAGAGGTTATGGATTAACCTCTGAAGTTACACTAGATTGGACTTTTAGATTGAGAGCAGTCAGACAAAGAGCAAACTCAAATTTGTCGTAAAAATGTGGTAAATGTACAAACAAATGCAGCAGAACCACAGGATTGGCTTTTATCAGAGGATTTTATCTGGCACAGTGATACAGGGAGACGATGATATTTCCACACTGTCCACCCACATATCAGCAAACAGTTTTACAGGTTTTCAAACTGATGCTATTAAACTCAATATGCACATAAGAGACTTTATTAAATTCAGAGACAGGAGAGAGTGGCCATGTGTGCGTCTTCAGAGGTAGCGCTCGCTGCCTTTTTCTGTCTGCAGATGGACATATCTGGATGAAACCAAGTCCTCTATCTGCCTCAAGCCAGAGCTCAACAAACACCCACTTACTGCCACAATAAAAGAAGAAGACAAGAAACGTATCTTTCTATGCAAAATGAAAATCAGTTTACAGTTTACATCAGTACAACTTGAAACCAGTCACCAATCTGTGTCTTGAAAATTTGTCAATTACCCTAAATCAAACTGTGTCAAGAAAAAACACTAGACACCACACAAGATGAGCTACGCGAATAAAAAACCAGTGCCATTTAATTTCACTGGTCTGGGAAGGGTTGATAAAATAACAGTGGCAACACTGGAAAATGAAAGGGGATCAGTTTCCTGTATTCTCCTGATATGTCCCCTCTCCTGGCAGATAAGCAGGCTGAGTAATTCTGCATACATGCATACAGATGCTCAAAAACAGCTGGTAATGATCAGAAGCTTGAGTCAGCCTGCTCTGAAGACTGATTTTAATGATTTTGTTCATTTAGACATTTACCCCTGTATTTTTCAAAAAATGTCAATAAAAATTGACTGGAATGATCAATGAAGTTGTGACTTGCAGGTTAAATATTCTTAATTGGTGAGAAAGCTGAGAACACCAGTGAGATGACTAAGATGATTATAACAGGACCATTTTTTTTTGCCAGTTAACCAACCTTTGACACGTGAGAGGTCTTGGTCTTCTTGGGGTCTGAAAAGGCAGAGAGGGGGATGGTGGGGAGCATCGGGTAATCTGGACTGGGTCTGGACACAGCTTCAGCTCCCTCTGGAACCACCAATACCTGGAATTAAAGAAACAGCAGTTAATAGTCTCGGTGTTAACTTTTAGAGACATTGTATATACACTGGAAGTTTCCAAATAGTGCTCAGGGCTTTTATTTAGTTTGACCGAAGACACGACCAGGCTTTTTCAAACTTGTGAAGCATAAGGAGCTACACGTATTCTGGACCCCACTGGCTCTAGAAGTAAAAGTTCTTTTCATTTCTCCCATAGACAATGTCAGGTGACTCACCGACGACAACAGCAGATGCGCACTGCATGCAATGCAACATATAACTGAGAAACAGGTAGAAGCAAGAGCGGTAGGGTTAGACGCAGAAAAGGCATTGACTGTGTAAGATGGGACTTTTGTTGGAGGGGTTCTTACTTTTAATAATAGGCCAGTCCAAGCCATCAGAGACAGAAATGGAATTGACTGGGAATTGAAATCAATGAAGTATCTTGGAGTCAATCGACCGTAAGAGTTGAGTGAATTAAAATCCATCAATTATGATCCATTACTCTCTAGAATAAAATTTGATATTGTAAAATGAAATCTACTTCCCTTTATAAGTATTACCTCAATAGCTAATGCGATTAAAATGAATATACTCCGAAGGTTATTGTATCTGTTCCAGACTCTACAATTGGAGGTAACAGATAAAGATTATGAGATATATTTGGCAAAGAAAGAGACCGAGTACTTATATAGAACTTTGCGGTTATCCAACATTAAGAGGGGGTTAGCTCTCCCTTGTTTGAAGAGCTATTATCAAGCTGCACAAATAAAAACATTTCAATCTGTGCAATCCCTCCTACACAGGAAGATGGAAGGGAATTGAAGGTAGTGCAACAGATGGCGTTCCTATACAGGCTATAATAGGTGAGAAAAAACTAAGAGGAGATGAAGCCATGGTTGGGCATATTTCTGACAATTTGATATGAGACTTTTCAAAGGCTGCAGATACCCTGCATTTAGGAAAATGTTTAAAGAAACATTTGAAAAGGTTAATAGACAGGTTTCCAAACCACATCATCACATATGCATATGTGTCTGGCATATTTTAAAGAAAGACCACTGTTACAGATTTAATACCCACAATGAGCGCACTATTGTTGACTTGGTGTCTCCTTTTGACTGTAGTTAGTTACTCAGTAATGAGTCCAGTCAACCAGACAGTGTGTCAGGCAACCTCACCCCTCCAGCTTTGATCAGCTTTCTCCTGAATTCTTTGGTGGGGTTGTTGAAGGTGAGCTTCTCACAGCGCAGGTGGTTGACCGGGGGGTTGCCCTCCAAGTTAAGGAACAGGTCGTAGTTGAAACACACCTTTTTTGGCTCCTCCTGCATTGAAAAATCAACAAAATAAAGAGGATTTTATTAAAGTTAAATCAGGTGTCATTTTAACATTCTTGTAACCGCATGTGTGACGGACAGTCATTTCTGTTTGTCTACTGCGTTGCTGCCTAACATATGATCCCCTTTCAATACCTATACATGCCTCAACAAAAGATAAAGGCTGAATGAATGAACTCTCACCCTGGTCAATAAAACAGACATACATAGCTGGAGCCCGGCACAGTGATAAGACGCAGCTAACATTCCTAACAGAGGCTGCAGAGCTGTAGAGAGGGGGACAATTACAGCTGAGGAAAAGGTATTAAGACACTCTTGAGAGAATTTCTAAACAGAATATCTTCTTATAAACTTGGATTAATTGCTGCTCATATTTACACGCGTCTTGCTTCCCTTCAATTATTTTCTTGATCTTCTTGACAGATTTGTCCACTGTGCACAATTTAATTGCACACAAAAGGAGGATGTAACATTTTAATATTATGAATACTAGCAGGACACAATAGTACACTTATGTGCACATTACTTCTAGTGAGAGTAAAATGGTTCTTTCTTTCATGATTCATTTAAATGGCTGACAGAGACATAATGGTGCCAGTATAATAGTGTGTGCACGTTTTAATTGTTTCACTCGAAGAGAGAAATGTCCCCACAAAGAAATGTTTCTATAATCAAGCATACCGATGGGCAGAGTGGATATATAAAAGCAAGTGTCTAACCTGCTGAAGAGTGTATCTGTCCAGTGGGAAACCATTCACAAAAAATATTGCTCCATCAAAAGCTTCTCAACTATCACTGCCTTTATATGTACTTAAGCAATCTGATTATTTCTGGTTTTGAGTGGTAACCTGATTTTGAACACATCAAGTAAAAGGGACACCCAGTTTTCTTTATCAAATTACAGAATTAAACTGGTTAACATGGGCTGATTCCTGCAGGAATATTCTGGATCCTGCAGAATGTCTATTACAGACCGTATCCTGTATGATGGTTAAAATGCCGTCTGGCACAACGAGTTAAATTACCGAGGAGCACAGTGAATATTTTATTCTCCCTGTAACGTTAATCCCGTCCAAATGAGACTGATGTTTAGTCTCCTTCAATCTGTCTTAACTTCACTGCAGTTAATGAGTACTATCAACTTTAAATTTTACTTATTTAAAGTTACATATAAGAGATAATGTAATACAATAATATAAAGGCTAAAAAGACAAAGAATGAGTCAAGCATAGCCGGACTGGCCATGGGGACTACAGGCTCAAATTCTGGTCAGGGAGTGGACCATCAAAACATCCAGAAACGAGTTTTTACTGGTTCTGTCAGTGTCTTTACCTGCCCTCTCATTTGTGCAGGCCGGTCCCAGCAGATAACTCCAAGACTGAATTTTTTTTTCTCAGTCCAACCGTGGAGCCAATACTGGTTTAGCGTTTCTGAGATGGAAGACATTAGCTACGAAGACTTGCAGGAGAAGATGGTACACTAATGTGCACATACTTCTTGTCCTTATCTTGTTACTGATATAATGAATTTGTTCCTCAAATGTTGCTATCGCTAGCTGGTTTAATGCCAGCATTGGCGTGGAGCATATCACTGCAATGCTAGTGGCTGGATTGTTTTTTTGTTGGCTCTTGTCTACTCAGGGTAACTTTATTTAGTTGTAATTCTTGTTCTGTATTTAGTGCCCGCTTTCACTGGGCTTCGTAACACCTTGCTGAGAACAGGAAGGGGGTTGGCTGATGAAGTATTTCATCCACATAACATCCACAGCATTTCAAAAGTCAATTTACAAAACTCAAAGCATATTGAAGTGCACAGAATTGTTTACCAACACACTACTATCTGACCTCCTAAAACCTATTTTTTTCACAGCCTAAATTTGTTTTCTATCAATACATGATCTACAAGAATAAATATGTCAGCAGCTATCTGCGTCCAGTCTATTTTACCTTGTTCTTGAAGTAAACCTCAATAGGCATGAGGAAGCCTGCGTAGCCCGACTCCTCCACTTTGTACGGAGGCTCCTTGCATACTGTAGACAGACAAAGACGTGTCAATGGCAATAATCATTACACTGTTATTACTCTTATAAACAGAATGGCATACTGATCCTAATAATCTTTTAGGTTAGTTTGTGGCTTCTGTATGTCAGGAACCATGTAAAATAGCATTTATCTAATAAAATATATACCAGATTTAGTTACTAGCTAATTTCTATCTGCAGTTTCTGTGCATGTAGATAAAAACCCTAATATAACTAATGTAATACAAATACAAGTTGAAATAACAGCAAACATTAATTACAAAAATGGATTCGACTACAAAAACAATTTTCAATCCTTACACCCAACAGTATGCATTTTACATAAACAATCTCATATATTGAGTCAGTATCAAATTAATGTTGACAAGACTGATTTCTTTGAATCCTTTTTTTGGCATCACACAAAAAAATGTGGAAATCTACTTATGTTTTCAAAGCACCAGGGAGCTTGTTCCATTCCTTAATGGCCTTAAATGAAAAGGCAGATTGTGCAAAGGCAGAGCTTCTTTTAGGGATTCGACCAGCTCCCCTCACAGCTGACCCTGAAGCTCTGATTATTTAATTAACTAAATTAATTCCAAGAAACTAAAACCCTCGAAAGTCTCTCACAAAATGAGACATTTGACAGTTGTAGTCCTGTCAAACTTTATACTGCATTACCATGAAGGTGATGAACATCACACTGATAGGAAGGGTTTCAATAATTAATTTTTCACATGATGGAAGAGGATGGCGTATGTAGCAATATGTTATGTTTGTCAGGATGTTAATGTTGCCCATATCACACCACCTTAGTTTTATCAAAGGGCACCTAAAAGCAGTGACAATACAAGTGAGTAATCTGAGAGTTTGTAGACATATTTTGAGAAAAATAGCGCATGGATTATTTTGCTGCACCATTATATCCACCAGTGTACTGTTCATGGAGCCTCTCTCTATAGCACACAGCCACTTCAACCGAGGATAGCCTAGCACATTTGTCTTCTAAAACTGCAACTCCAAATAAAGCTACATTGATTAATCTAATATTTTGATAATTGATTAACCATTTTTCAAGCATAAATTCTCAACATTCACTGGTTAAAGCTTCTCAAGTTTAATTCAGTGCTTTTCTTTGTCATATCCAATCATATTTTTGCATTTTGGACTATTATGCGAATAAAACACACTATTTGAATACATAATCTTTGGCTTTGGGAAGTTATAGCCGACACCATTCACTGATTTTTGACATTTTCACATGCAGGCCTAATTTCAACAATGTCATTGTACCTACAATCACTTCATAATAAGTAACCATGAAGAAATGCTAAATATTAGCATTAGAATATAAGTTGCGACTGGTATGATCCAATCATAAAATGGTCTCTAGTTCCCTTTGTTAATGAAATATTGCTATATTAATAAACTTACCATGTGTTATAGGAAGAGTAAAGAGTGAAAATAGGTGTTTGTGTTCACACATTATTATCTCCTTGTCTTACCTCTCTTGGGTTTGGGGAAGCTCTCATGCAGGCGGAAGACAACCTTCTCTACAAAGTGCTGGATGTCGCCAGTCTCTGGCCCTCGGACAAACACCATCCAGTCGTGGGTGAAACCTTCTGATGTCACTTTCTTCCTTAGCTGGGCTCTGTGGCCCAACTCCAGCTTCACCTGCACTGTGCACTGAAAAGAGATGAGCAGAAATAAAAGAGTCACAAACTGTGTATTAACATACTGGGGCTGTAGGCGTGAGAGCATATGCATAAGCAAAAATAGGTAAAATATCAACTCCAAGGGCAGGAAAAGAGACAACAGATTTATTCCGATCAACAAAATGATAACAATGTAGAAGCAAAATATTTTTCTGCCACTATCTACACTTTGTACATTTTGTGGTGAGCAGAGGAAGGTCAAATAAATGCCATAAGATTTTTCTTCTTCTGTTTAAGCTGCATGTTGGACTCCTTGCTTGCTTGCAATGTAAAGGGTAGAGGTAAATTCCATGCTTTTCCTTTCATTCTCTTTTCTGAGATATCACATCTCAATGTAATTTAAGTTGCAAATAAAATGTGCCAGTCTAAAAACAAACATAAAAAGACATAAAAGCTGTGTAACCTAATTTTAGATTTTAAGAAATTATGTAAGAACCAGGGGTGCAACTGACAAATAATGTAATCAGTAATTCGTCTGTGAATGATATTCTAAATTAATCAAATTATTTAGTTTATAAAATGTTAAAAATAATGAAAAAACACAATTTCCTGAAATTTGTATCTACTACCAAATATTATGTTTTTGTAAGAATTAAAAAGACATCACCTTTGCCTCGAGGAAATTTTCATGGGCACATTCACTGTTCTCTGACGTTTAAAAGACCAAACAATTCATCAAGAACATAATCAGCAGATTAGTTGATAATGAAAATAACCACAGCCCTATGCTAAAGGCTTCAAATCCTGTACAGCAATGCTGAATAACAGCAGCAAAGACACCATTCAAACTGGGGTTACTTATGAAATAAACATCAGGGTTTCTGCAGGGTTCACCAAGATGAATTGAAGGCTTTTTTTTTTTTTTAAATACCACACAGAATGCAATGTAATACCTGTTTCATGGTCATACTGCTCAAAGAAAGATAAAACAAGTAAGGGCGATGAAGTCCAATGTGAATTAAGTGTAAATTAATTAACATTTATTTCACATTTTTGTGATTATTTCCCAGCATATTCCTAATAAAATAATTAGACATAACCTGGAGCTGGACAAGCTGCAGAAAAAGGATGGATGAATGATTAACCAATTATAAAATAACTAAATTTAAGCTTTTCACAAGTAACATTACTGCCTCAAGCAGGTTAGAAAAAAATACTTTACAAAAAGACTTTTGTAAATGAAATTCAAGACTTTTTAATTCAATGCTTTTTAAAACTTTTCTCTACCTCCAGATACCCTGAAACATAAGCAAAACCAGTAGTGAGATTAATCCAAAGAGCCCATTATTCATTGGTTTCTGATTCCACCTTGAACAAAACCCCTGAATCTCTATTTTGAGTGTATGGACTTAATACTGAAGAAGAGAGGCTGAACACTTGGCCTGGACAAACACAAAGCTGGTCTGGTGTCGGGACGCTCCCAGTGGAATGGGAGTGATTAGCTGCTCGAGCTGACAGATCTCAAAAGGTTTGTCCAGAAGAGGGGCACATTGCTGGGCTACCTCTCTCTGCCAAGAACAATGACTGCAACAGGACGCGCAAATGACACCGTGCTGGTGCGGCGGTGGTGATTGGCATAGCAAGTGAAGAGGCTATGGAGATGGAGTGCAGTGAGGAACAAGGGGTGGGTGGGTGGGTGATGAGAAGGGACAGAAAGGCACTTTATGTCCAGGGGAGGACTGAAGAATGTGGGGATTTGGCCCCGGCACTGAGCAGCTCGTGAGCTGGGACTGAGTGGGGGGATTAGAGGGGACAGGATTGAGATGAGCTGGTCTGGCACTCTCCAGTTCGCTCACTTACACACACACACTCTCTCACACACACACACTCTCTCACACACACACACTCTCTCTCTCACACACACACACACACACACACACACACACACCTCCCCTGCCTGGCACTCTGCCCGGCCATTCTGTGGCAGTAATGCCCTTAAACTCCAGACTCCACCACACCCACAGTGAGCAGCCGTGCAGCCCCCCCACCCCTCCAATCATCAACACCCGTCTCCCCCTGAGGCGTCTGCAAAATCAGGAATGTGATAAGGACAACATAAAAATCAGGATGATAATGAGCCAAAAAGGAAAAGTGATTCTGCAATAAAAATCAACAGGAACAATAAACTCAAATGCCTCAAACATGTAGTTTCTACACAGGAAACATGAGGAAAAGAAAATCCTAGGCCTGCAATTTAAGATTATGTTCATTACTGATTAATCTGCTGATTGTTTTCTGCAGTAATTGATTCTCGTTTGGTCTATGAAATGTCAGAAAGTAGAGTAAATGCTTATCACAATTTCTTTAAGACCACAATGATGTCTTCTTTACCTTATTTTGTCTGACCAACAGTCCAAAACCCAAAGAGATTTAATATAATATTATTTGAGATTAAGAAAAGCAGCAAAAAATCAAATTTTAGACGTTGAACCAGATAATAATCAAAGAATCAACTAACCCCTTAATCGATGAATTGTTCCAGATCTACTGAAAATAGTAGCGCAGCAAATAATGATCATTTTCTCTATTAATCGGTTTGTCAGTGAACAGCGAAAAATGCCCAGTGCCCAAGGAAATGGTTTCTTTTGTCACACAGTCAAAAGCCAAGTCAGTCAGTCAAAAGCACTATCTGCTTTTCTCACATTTTAGAAGCCAGAGGAAGCAGATGTTTGGCATTTTTAGTAGACAAAGTACTCCATTTATTGATTGTGTAATTAGTTGCTGATTAGTTTGCTGTCAAACGACTAACCTCGGCCTGCAATTAACACCTACTCTTTTAATACAGATTAACCTGATGATTATTTCCTTGATTATTTGTTTGATGTCATAAAATATTGAAATATGCCTATCACAAGTTCTCACAGTCTATGGTGATGTCTTCTACTGTCTTGTTTTGTCTGACAAACCCACAAAAGATTTTAAATCTGAAAATGATATAAAACACAAAAAAGGCTGCAAATGATCACATTTCAGAAACTTTATGTCGATCAGGTAATAACTGACTAATCTTTCAGTTTAAGAAAAAACAGGGACCAGCGTAAACTGAACAGAGTCAAACTGTAAAAATATGAAAGATGTCAAACACCTGAGAGGTGCAGTCTAAAAATTTGACTCTGACTATAATTTTTACCAATATTCACAAAATTAAGAGCCCAGGAGCCAATACGAAGCTGGGAAACTAGAAACATGAAATGAGAGCAAGATTGATAGAGATGGATATTAATTGAACTGTGTCAAACTGCCTGAAAATATGACACCCTGGGGGCATACATCTAGAAAACAATGGTTTAGTTCCAAATCATTCAATTGTACCAGTATCAGACAAAATGAAGAGTGGCAACACATTTATTTACCAATCCTTGACTAAAGGCAATGTAGGGGATACAAAAACAAATCAAACAAAGCCAGTAACATTGACATGATGTGTGCATGCCCCCCCTTTCTCATACACAGTGCTCCAATTGAGGGGAAATACAAATTTTGGCAGACACAGTGGCTCCCATGAAAACAATGAACTCCCAGCTGCCATGTAAATAACACCCCTCATGACCATGTTAATCTCTTCCAGCTAATAAGTGACTGAAATGAAAAGTCAGAAAGTTTCCCTGGAAGAGGACACACACAAACAAACAATCATGACAGCAGTTGTGCATGATGAATCTGTAGGTTCCAGCTGAATCCTTCATCATAACCAACCTTAAATATCTGAAAGATGACATGAAACAAGACAAAAAAGTTACAGGTATTTGAAAGCGGTCAATCCTTGAGAGCCACAGGGAAGTCACAAATAGCCTATCTGCAGGGCTCGAGGTGTGTGAATGACTGTATGGGGAGTGCGAAATGAAGGGTATAGCCTTGTATCAGGGAGGGTTGATAGAACACTACCTATTACAGTGTGATTTATATTATCATATAAAATAGTACCTTGTATAAAGCGATATACTTCAATGCAATAAACCCTGGAGCTGAATTATCACCTCTCTAAAATTGTTTTAACAAGAATTAAACATTATAACATTCATGGGGGTAGGTTTTATTGCATGGCTGCTTTGTTAGACTGCATTATTTTAAGATACATGTACCAATAAACTGGCAATTGTGCATGTATTTGTGAAATGAGAGTGAAAGATCTAATGCACATCTTTCACAGGCAACATAGGTAACATTCATCACAGAAGTACAACTTGACTATCCTTTTAACTTGTAGCAGAAGACTTCCTCTGGATGCACATTCAGAGATCTAGTTAAAACTTCAAAGGGACCAATGCTGAATGGGGACTAGTTCCAAGAAAGTGGCTGAGCCACTTTCCATGGGTGTGTGTGGCCTAACCATCTGAAATATAGTCCTGAATAACCTCAGGCATTTAGAGTTACCCATTCTGAAGCAATATCTCCCTTACAGTTAGTAGGTATGTAATTCGGTTTACCCACTTTTCTGTTTTCTGCAAAACAAATTATGTAGCTTTTTATGAAGACATAAATCTTGTGTGTGCAAATTTGTACACATAAAAGTATTACATGTAAAGGCATGATCTTGCAAGATCAAAGGGTTCACATGCTAGTCCTTAAAATTATGCTTTATAATCTTGGATCTTTGCTTTCTAATGACCAGCCCATGCAAGGGTGGTCATCATGACTGGATTCAAGTTCAACGTTTGCCACACATTTGTCAGCTTTTCCACCATGTTACATGCATTTTAGTCTACAATCATGAATGTGGTGCGTAAGAACTTAACATTAACCAACTGTTGGCAAATAACGCAAATATATTACATGAGTCGTGTGGTCGTTGCTGAATTTATTAGCGTTGTATATGTTGAGGTTTCAGGCCGCTGGCAGTGGAGACACCACCCCGCCTCTCCAGCCCAACCTGGAGAGGACAAATCTTTTCCCCGGCGCCTTGTAGCGGCTCCTTAGCCTTTAGCCAACGGCCGACACTCTCCTGAAAGGTAGACTAGCTAGCTAGATTAGCTTAGCTGCACAAAACCTCGACTCAAATTGGTCTTCGTAATGTTTAATTGAGTGCATGTGCTTTTTTGAAAACACTACAGAGCAGAATAAACACCAGGTGTGAATCTCTTTGTGTGCCTGGTTGTGGCTACAGCTATGCAGCGGTACTGAATGGTGTGGTACACTGAAGCTAGCTAGCGGTAAATACCGATGTATGAGTGCCCAGCTAGCATAGCTCCAGAGCCAAACAACTACGAGTTCATTAGCAGCAGGAGCGTTTTTTTCTTCTGGCGACCAGAACAGAGGATTCATTCCTGCCCTGCCAGCGCGCAGGCTGCTGCCATTTTCACCGTGAAAAGTTCAGATTCCACAAGGAGACACAAAAGCCACTGTACCTGGTTCTCCATGTTTCTCCGGCCTCAGTGATTGTTGTATTTATTTACAGCGGCGTTTGTGGAGCGTCTCCCCAGCCTCTGCTCCTCATTGTGTGTCAATCCAGCCCAGAAGCGGAAGGCAGACGGCTCCCCTCCCCTTCCAGACGGCCGCTGGCAGGCGACCAAAACAGAAAGCTCTCTCAGCCAATCACGGAGCGGGAAATTTAAGCACTCTTGAAAAAAGCCAATCAGAACACTCAAAGGGCGGGGCAGTCCCCGAGCTGCAAATACAATTAAAGCATTTACTGGAGGTTTTCTCGAGTGACAGCGGGCTTGTCCCAATGGCTACAGCTCTGTGTCAATTGTAAAATGCACATGATGTTAATTGATTAAATCAACTCTATGAGTTTCACAATGTAACTATTGCTATTAGGGTGGTAAACGCTGTATTAATAACATTATCAAATACTCATGCAACCTAATATCTCTTACGCAGTGGTGGAAGAAGTAGTCAGATCCTTTACTTATGTAAAAGTACCAATACAAGAATGTAAAAATTCTCAGTTACACGTAAAAGTTGTGCATTCAAAATCTAAGTTTATAAAACACAATTTTATTACTTATTATTTGAATATTTAATTCCACTTTTATCTGTTATTTTCTTGGTTTTATGTCTCTGTAAAGCTCTTTGCAACTTATTCTGAAAAGTTATTTACAAATAAAGTTATTATTATCATTGTTATTATTATTATTATTGTACTCAAACCTGCTACACAAGTGTGTCTGAATTGAATCAAACATGCCTGATATTTGCTAAAGTCATGGATGTTTGCCAGACAGAAAACAATGCTTTCTTTGGCCACGTGGGGAGCAGTGGGCCTGCAGGCACACATTCATTTTCTTCAAATATTTTAGGTCTTAGTTCTGCTTGGTGTATAGATTTCAGTCAGTCATCTGTCTTTCACTGGCTATTATTTCAACATTGCATTCTGAAAAGCAATGGTTCCCCACCAACAATTTCATATAAAAAAATATAGAAAATATAAAACTTCTCATGTGAGAATTTGCTGCTTTTCCTATTACTTATATTTTACACAAAAACATATGATCTCTCTGACTCGCTCTCTCTCTCTCTCTCTCTCTCTCTCTCTCTCTCTCTCTCTATATATATATATATATATATATATACTGTATATATATATACAGTATATATATACTATAATTAAATAAAAGATTAAACAAACTAAAACTAAAATTAGGTCCACCTCCACAAACTGCTTACATTTTAATGCTGCAATAATAAGAATCCATGAAATCGACAGTGACAGGAGTCAGTCTGCACACACAGTACTCTTGATTACTCTAAGAACATTTTGTCGCAAATATTTCTAATGCAGGGCTGTTACTTGTACTGTGTGCTTTCAAAAGTGTTTCACTCAAGTTAATGATCTCAATACTTCCTCTACAGATGAAAAGCAAACGTCCTGAGTGTCAGTAAAATGAGTTAAAATGTCCAAAGAGCTGTTTTCCTTCTAAGCAACACATGGTTGCCTAAGAAGCTTATTCCTTTGTATCCCATGTTAATTTTTGTAACACATCAACCAAAAGATAAAAAGAGATTCAATCACAGTTATGCATGATTGCACCATGCATTTTGTGTATCACTGCAATAAAGGATTTGTAATCTTGGCTATATCTGGATAAATGTAATATTACACCTAACTCAACAGGTAGTCCTAATGAGCTTACAGGGCCTCTGTTTCAAATGGCCCATGTGCACTGGTTCAATTTCAAATGTTTCATCTGGAAAGAAAGCAGTACATCTTCTGATTGAAGACGTCTCTTTTCTACAGACTCAGGGAGTGAGGGCCCATTGCAGTCAAGTCTCTGCTGTGCTCAGACTTTGATGTGAGATTATCAGGCCTCAGCTGTGGGACAGAAGGTCACCACTCTCTCACTGGCTTGGTGCCTCCCCTTCTTCTCCTGCCGCTCAAACTGACCCAGTCTCCCTCTTAGTCAAATCTCAGTAAAAGAAGTCCCACCTGGCTGTCAGACAGGAGGGTGTCCCACTTGTATTGAGACATCAACCTTTAAAGCCTCCTTTTCAATATGTGTGGACAGACAGATATACAAAATGAAAACATGTCCCACAGGTTTGACAGACAAAACATAGTTTTATTGAAATTGAGAGCAAATGTGTTTTACAGTATGTCAACAAGTGCATTTTATAAAAATGTAAACTAACTGAGAATGTTAAGTAGATATTAAAGTATTAATAACATTCATTTTTACATGATAACAAAACTTATGCAATATTTGTCTCCTAACTTGGACTGGAACAAGCACTTAATAAACTTTTTAGTCAAAAATACCTCTAAATAAAGAAATGGGTATCTGTAGGATAGCTGAAGTGCCATCCCAGCTTTCGTCCTCTTTTGACTGATTTTTTGGCACACAACTCATCAGTAAGGCTTAGACTTCTGTACCAATCTGGAAAGTCTTCACAACCCTCCCTCCTCTTTGAGGCCCAGTAACTTCATCATGATTTCACATAATGACATGATTTTAGCATTTTGAGGGGGAAGAAAGACTTTGAACTTCATTGGCATAAACCTTTTCTACCTTCAGGCACACCTTTTGAAAAAATTTTAACTTTATAGTGTACATTACAACTAATGATACAACTGGTGTTTATGTCAGTCCAGGGCGGGATACAGTCAAATCTCTTCTCCACTCTGCTACACACCTGTGTCTGACGTGACTTAAACATGTTTGATATTTGCACCACATCATGAATCATGGATCTTGACCACCTAACAGATAGCTGTGGGAAACAAGGGACAGTACTTTCTTTGGCCACATGGGGAGCAGTGGGTCTGGAGGCACACATGCATTTTTTTCAGTAGTGTCAGATCTTCTGTATCTGGATTTCAGGTTTCACTTGTTATCTTTTAAACATTACATTCTGAAAAGAACTGGTACGCCTCAAACCATTTTAAATATTTTCACCAGCCCACAGGAGGTCACTGTTGAATGTTTACATGTAGATAACACCTTGGAATTTCTTTGTCAAGGATATAAGGTTGTTGTTAAGGTAAGGTGAATGGAAGCAAGCGTCTCTTTGCATATAAAATGTTGTGGCTCGGCGTGCACCTGCAGTTTAGAGAGAAAAACAACAACAACACTTGCCACCTCCACCACTGTTGTTGTCCCCTTTCAAGGCAGCTTTGCGTGGAAGCTCCTTGCACACACTGCTGTTACGACCCCTACAAAGACTCTCTAAGAAAAGAGGTCAAACATAACCTAAGAGAGTGAAGTTGTTGCGGCAAAGAACATTCTGTTTTCCACTAAATAAAAATGAAAGAAAATGACCATAATCAACATCAACAACAAAAACAGAAGGCTGATGCGCCAGCCAAAAGGAACAGAAAGAAAGGAAGCCACTCAGAACAACCCACAAAGGGTCGTAGGATCTGGTGTCTTCCCTCAAACCTTAACCAACATCAAAACTAGACCTCACACGGGGGGGGGGGGGGGTTGCTTTTCAATAAGGAAAATAAGTATGAGTTGCATCCCTAGAATTTAGCTATTATTAAGGCCGTCGAGAAATAACAATAACAAAGAAGGTTATATGTTACTTAAACAACTTTATATGTGTCACATTCTTATATTTACACAGAATCTGTCACACAATCTGTCTTTCCATTTCATTCATCTCCAGCTGCTGCTTACAAAACCATAACAAACTAGTAAAGCAAAGTTTTAAGTATACTTGGTTAAAAGTATACTTAAAAGTGTTTTCCTCAACAATAGACAGTATGACAGCCTGCATGACCAGCGTACTCTATTGTATGGTAATAGAAGAGGGAATTAATTCTGTGTCATGGTTTATTTGATATTATCAATTTTATTTTATCATCTATTTCACATTTATTTAATATTAAATATGCCTGCTCATTAGTTTGGAGCATTGCTCACAAGAGCTAAGATTTAAAGTGAAAGATATCACTGTGTGATCAGTGGAAAAAATCTCTGACAATAACCACATTTATATTGTCTCACAGTATATAGGTCTGTTATCATATGGCCTACCCTAACATCCAAATTAAAAATTCCTTTTAACACACCAATCAAAGAAAAATATGAAGTCTTTCAAAACAAGTTTGTGACAGCAACATGCATCCATTTAAGCCATAGGAAACATGGGTACATATTGACAAATGTGTTGTTATTCATACTCCACAGGTTGTCACATTAATCTAACTCAGCCTCTGTCTCAATGTCCATTTCAGATGTTTCATCTGAGAAGAATTGAATACACCTCTTTTCAACAGAGTCAGGGCCCATTGCAGTCAAGTCTCTGCTGTGCTCAGACTTTGATGTGAGATTATCAGGCCTCAGCTGTGGGACAGAAGGTCACCACTCTCTCACTGGCTTGGTGCCTCCCCTTCTTCTCCTGCTGCTCAAACTGATCCAGTCGGGATATTTGATTGTTTATTTCCCTCGGTATGTACTGGCTGCAGATCTCTAAATGTATTGAGTATTTCAAGTTTTATTTGATGTGCATCTTTTAGGAAACCCGAGTGCAGGGCAAAACATGATATGCCACTGGAAATGAGACAATATGCATAACTTTTTTACCCAAAAATATTAAGCTGTTCCTAAATAAAGCTGCTAACTTATGAAAGTGTTTTTATTTACTAACTTATTACGTTGATTATGATGATGCCAAGTGTGTGTTATTTTTACTGTAGATAAACACAAATATTCCAACTCGTAGGGATGTTGTAGTATGAGTAGTAGTAGCAGTAGCACATTTAAGAAATAAATCTGGAGATGATAAAAGTATTTAAATTAAAATGTGAAATGATTATTTACACTAACAGGATGCAGCAGCAAGTCTCTCCACAGGCAGCAGGAATCAGTAAATGAACTGCACTCATATAGTCTGATCAACCACTTTACAATGCAAGCCATATTTACCCATTCACACAGCACTTCTAGCACACACAGACACACTCTGATGGAACAGTCATCAGAGGCAATATGGCGTTTAGTATCTTGCCCAAAGACACTTAGACACATGGATGGGAGGAGCCAAGGATCGAACCGCCAACCTTCTGATTGTGGCTCTACCTCCTGAGCCACAGCTGCCACAGTAGCATCCAGAGGCTAACAGGCTAACTAGCACTGAGTAGGAAACAAGTAGAGAATATTCTGTTGTTCATTTTGGGCCAGCACTAATTCAGTCTGCCTCTCAGTCAAATCAGAGTAAAAGGAGTCCCAAGAGGCAGTCAAACAGGGGGTCGTCTGACTTTTATTGAGACATAAATATGTTGGAAGAGATAGAAATTCAAAATGAAGCCATGCGGCACAGATTTCACACACGTAGTAAAGCTTTATTATCAATGATAGTAAAACTTGTCAACGGGTCCGACTTTGTACAAAAGAATGTCAACTGTATCCACAACATTCATCATTCTTCCTTGATGACTAAAAATACAGTCGTATCATAAATTGCAAGGCCCAAGGGAAAAACCTGAACAAATAATTTAATTAATAATCAGCACAAAACATATTTCTCTAAATGAAAGAATAAATCTACAGCAGTGGTTCCCAACCTTTTTGACTTGTGACCCCCTAAATTAGGAAATGCCTTCTTCTGACTGCTCAATACACACTATGGCCTCAGTATGGACATGAGTTATCCTAAATGTCAACCTCTTTGCGGTGCTCGAGGAAAAGTTAGGGAAGTCATACCAATTTATCATCTGGAGACAATGAATGCCTTTACAAGATTTTGTTCCAGTCCATCTAGTAGATGTGGATATACTTCACAGGATAGGTGAAAACTTGAATAAACTTACATCTCAACTGCTGGATTGCCAATTTTGGCAGACTGAGGGCGCCAGATGAAAAGTCGGTAGGATTCATCCTCTGCGCACCATGCATGCCTCAACAGAAATTCATGGCAACTTATCCAGTAAATGAGATATTTCAGTGTGGACCACAGGTTTGGACCATCTGGCAAACTTGAGGGTTACTGACCTCCAGGTTGGGAATACCTGATGGAGACATACAGTTTTCTGTAAACATAATTACTTCAGTATATCCAGACAGGACACTGAAAAGTTACGGATAATTGACTCTGACATTTGAAATTAGTGCCAACACATTCTGTTTTATTTGTTACCTCACTCTTAGCGTATCATCTTGCTGTCACTAATTAATAGCATTATATTTTTAAAAGCACTAGTTGCTTTTGAAAGTATCATCACCCACAGGAGGTCACTGTTGAACACTGGAGTGCAGAGAAAACATGTGCATTCCTTTGTGTAATGGATCTATTGTTGTGTCTGTTGTATCCTTCCGGAAAGATCACGTGAATGGAGGCACAGTGTACCTGAATATTCTCAACACATCACCAAATTACACAAAAAGGTCATTTTGGTGAGTTAGAGTCAATCAAACAAGAATCAGATCTGCATGTGATTGTCGGGGAACTGTCAGTCATATAAATGCACTTTAGAGTCATATTTCAGAGGTCCTGAATGAGACTATCTTTTATAGAGAAAGCGACAAATAGGTGTCACTGAAATGTCCTGAGTTTAAATGAATGTCTTAATTCTAACACATTACTAGACTGACAATTATAACTTTACTTAGCTTGTATTAGATTAAAATGAGACAACACAGTTCAGGTTACAGATCAAACTGACCCCGAGGACAGGATGTATGACTGTGAAGCCATCACATGCTGAGGTATTTTAAAACTCCATGCAAACACATTTCACTGTAGCGCCTCACTCCAAGAAACTGTTGCACAGAATGATAGTAGCTACTGTTTCTTAGCAAAAGAATAGTTTCATGAAAAGAAAGCATACAGTACGTCAATACAATCGGTTATGTGCAGAATCAAATGTGCGTACATATCTTGAAAATAAATATCAGTAACTGATTTATATATACAAAAACACGCATGCTTAACTGTCAAAGACAAACTCTTTAAAACTGGAGGCCCGTAGATATTTTATGAAACCATTCATGACTTACAAGCTCATAATGTTTGATAGTCATCGCCTTAAAACCTGTAAAACCAAACCTCATTTCACCTTCGTAGAAGTTCAAGATAAGTCAGCTCAGTCAACTGATGCCCTCAGTCTCTATCCCTCTAACTCTAGTTGGGATTTCCCCAGAAAAGTTTCTGAAAACACAATCATGGCTTGAATAGAGAGACTAAGAGCAAAGGTTTGAATTACAGTAATATGACTGCAATAATTTGCTACTGTGTTAGAAATATGAATCTATAGTATAAGTACCGGGCATATTAAAGTATAGATTTTAAGTTTGATCTGTAAATAATTGTTTTGTATATGTGAACTTGGCTCATTCGGTACTCCATCTGTTGTGTAAATAAACCTTTTATAGGATCAGAAAACAAGCATAACTTGTATTTAGTTGTTGTTGTCATCAGTTGGAGTGACATTAGATTCCCGTATTTTGAATTACGGTGGTGGGGCCAAGCTTTCAGATCCTAGATTGCGTCTTTAAGCTGAGAAGCTGGTGCTGAACTACTGTCCTAATGGAGTGCACTAACAGAAATGCTCTGCCAAAGTTAAACAAGACTTTGTTAGCACCGTTTCCGTGTTTTGGTAGTACCCTTCAGGACAATGTGAGGTAATCCAACAGCCCATTTATCACATGGCCAGTACTGCAGTCCAGGCAGTGAATACGGTATCTCATAGTTGGCGTCCAGGTAAGCTATCAAAGTGCTGCCATAAGCCACCGCCATCACAATGAGAATGTGCCTGGAGGATACATAAAATGAAAATTAACATACATGAGCATGTCTTTGAAAGAAACAACCCTGTCTCCTAATAAATATATTTATATGTACTAATTCCTCTTGCCACATATGTTTTGTATAAAATGTAATTTGCTGAATCGATAATGTTCACAGGCGCTGGGTCTGAATCCTCTGCGTGATAAGGTTTAGGCAACAAAAGCAATTTGGTTAAAGTTATAGTGAAAGTCTGTGGTTTTGATTAAATGTTAATACAGTAAACACATCCTTTGTCATGCTTCATGTTACTGTTGACTTTTTCAACATTCAATCTAGACCACTATCTTTTCCTAAGTGTAAGTACTTAAACATAAGCAAAAAAAAGTTTCATCATACTTTAGTTTCTGAGCTGATATTGAATTACAAGACAAATATGCTCGATAATATGTTGATAAGAAACATAATTCAGCGGGCGTAACGTTTTGCTGATGCAAAGGAAGGGAAGGGAAAGGCCTAAGCCAGGACTCACCAGATACCGTGGAGGTAGCAGAAGTTTAGCCGCTGCCAGAAGCTGCAGCCAAAACGGTCACTAATCCAGCAGGAGATGGCGAGCACCCACAGAGCCACTGACAGCTTGGCCAGTCGCAGAGCCTTCTGGTCAGTGCAGCTGAGAAAGAGAGAACATTGATTAAGACAACAAATCAAAACTGCAACAAAAACAGATACAACTGTGGGAAAGGCTACAGTTTTCATACCATCTCATCTCCACTGCCAGAGTGTAAAGCAGGTGGAGGCCGAAGCAGTTTAAAGCGTAGGCATTAGCTGTAGGTTTGACGAACGATGACACCGAGGTGATGACAGTAACCAACAGGATGAGCCTTGAAAACGTGGACCTGTGATGGAACAGACAGAAAGAAAAAAAGAAGCAGTGAGGCAAAGGTTTATGTGCATGGATGAATTATGAGACATGTAAAAGCCCCACCGCCTCTTAAAGAGGAGTGAGACACCCAGATTGAAAGAGGTACAAAATGTACCTGAACAATAGAGGCTGTCTCACACTTGTCCAAAGCATTGACATATCATCACCTTTTAAGTTAATATGGCAAACTTGTTAGCAATTAGTTTCCTATTTACGCGATGACAGTTACAGAGCAGCATTATCAATTAGCAGTCATGCTTTTGGCCACCTGAAGAATGTAAGTCCAACGTTTGCTCTTTGCTTTTGGTCTCCACCAACTCCTGAGGGAAATATCTGGCTCTTTAGATGCTTATGTTCCACTATGTTCACCAGCTATTTGTTGAATGTATCTGTCTGTTGTTTGATGCTGAGTGTACAGTGGGATTTTAGGGCTTTTTTCTCTGAAAATAACTCTGTAAGAGGGGTGAGAGTGAACCAGAAGAGGTAAGTTGTGGCCAGACAGCTAAACAATGAGCTGAAATCTAATTGGTCTCTTCAAGCAGAGGCTGTAGCCTACCGCAGGCCCCCTGACCTCTCAGCCCCACTGGGCCTCTGCCTGGTAGGTAATTTCAGTAATCCATTCATGATGAGGAGGACCAACACATTACCTTGAAAAACTGTAAAAATCAATGTGAGAGGTTGTTGAGTCAGGGCTGTGGGATTCTTTTCAGGTGTCATCAAAATTTCATTCATCTTTTCCCACCTTGTGGTTAAATATTTAAACAGGGTGGGTGGAGCTCCCCTCTTTTACAATAGTGACAGCCCCTATCTGTCACATTCAGGTGAAGACAGCGGCACCATATTGTGTTTTTGTGATAATGCCTCTTGTTGAGGCTGTCAGCCTGGCTCCTTAGCCAGCACAGATTAGGTTTCAGAGTGGCGTGCCTTAGAAACACTGTCATTGTTTTTTTGACTTGTCTTATTAAAGGATTATTGAGCTGTGTGTGAGTCCCTAGTAACACATGGAGATATATATTACCATTTGCCGAATAAAGACAGAAACAAAAACCTAGGACTAACTTGTGGAAACACAAATCAATCATCTGTTATTGGGTAGATTGTTACAAAGTTATCTTACCTGTCTTTTATAAAAGAAGGGAACAGCTTGCGGGGGAACCAGACAGCATATCCCACTGCCAGCACCCACAGGATTGACAGCTCATCCAACATCTGGCCAACAAAACTAAGAGTCATGTGGAAGTATGCTGAGAAGAGCCCTGGAAGGAGAGAGAGCAATTTTTCTTTTAAATGTGAAAAATAAAATTTTTATACTGTTACAGAAACACAAACACATAAGGACTAAAGACAAATGACCAAGAGAGACGAGGAGGCAGAATGGGAATGTAAAGTCTGAAATTGATAGAATGTTCATCAGTTTTTACATCTACATCTGGTTTTCAATCTGGGGGTTGGGACCCCACAGTGGGTCACAAGATAAATCTATAAAGGGTGTGATGATTAACAGGAGAGGAAAGGCTATGCTTATGTTTACAGGCTTTCCTCTAAACTTTTTTTTTCTTGAAATCTACTGGATAATTTTACTTTTATTTTTTTTTGTTTCTTTTATTCATATAAAGCAAGGAAAATTCCTCTTTGGTGAAACTGCTCACAACTGGTAAATAATTGCAACAGGTGACAAGAGGTTGTAAGAAGCTCTAGCAAATTATTTTTACTGTCCATTAATCTACTGATAATTTTCTCAGCTAATGGTTTAGTTTATAAAATGTTAGCAACTTGTGAAAAATGACAGTCACAAGTCCATCAAATGTCTTGTTTTGTTCAACCAAAGCTATTTAGTTTACAATCACAGAATTATAAGAAAACAACCAAAAACAAAATCACATCTAAGAAGCTAGTAGCTGTGAATTTCTTTGACAATCAAAACAGTAATTGATTGAGAAACTAATTCCCAAGAAGTTGGGAACCACTGTTGTAAACCATAAAATAATTAATTCAGTTTGTCTCATGACCCATTTTCATGGCTGAAGCTCTATTTAAAAAAAAAATCCACCTAAGGCCTATGATTGGTCTTCTTCACTATACCATAATTCTGGTATGCCCCAGGGATCCATTTTGGGACCACTTCACTTGTCTACTTGGCAGGTAGTGCATGTAACAGTATTTCATCTGTGTGTGCAGAATAGAGTTTGAAATGGGTGTACACTGACAAAAACTGATTCATGCACATGTCAACTCATAATTGAATGAACAACTCACGAAGGCAATTATTCATGTCTCTAACAGGTTTGGTGACTCCTGTTCACCTACTAATGTAAAGAAATCAGACGTATCTTGTGATACAGACCAACATGAAATATGCAAAGAAAGAAAGAAAACTGACCTACAAAAATCATCATGATCCAAACTATGTGGATTGCCAGGCTCCTCTCTTTGGCATAAGGGTGCAAAAGGTAGAGCATGACGGGCGATATAATGAAGAAAAAAAAGCTGCTCATCTGCAGGAGAAACATCATTCAATCAACCAAAAAGGAAAAATATGTGTATGACAAGCAGTTATGGGGCAGATGTTGTGTGATTATGTGATTTTACATATGAATCTGGAAACTTGAATGTTTGTATTGACATGAATGTTGCAGTATACAGAACTTACAGTGTTGAAGTACTCCACCACATGTTCAGAGTGTTTGTAGTTGTCTTCACACCAGTCGACTTCTGAACTCTCGTAGGAGAAAACTCCTGCCATCTTTTCACCAGAGTAGACACCTGTCAGATAGAGAGAAAGGAAGCAATAACCACTGCCTTCTAATTGGTCAATAACACCTGGTGCACCTATGATAGACCTGAGGTGTAGGTGTATTTGGTTTATGGAAATCAGTTTCCACTCCCCCTTGAGCTGGATTTTTTACTTTTATTCAAATGTGGCTTTGCACCTTCTCACAGAACCTTGTAATATTCATTTAATAACAAAACAATTGTGACAAAGTAAATTAACAAGTGACAAACTGATCCGTGATACTAGTCCAATTTCCTCTGTTTTATACTTCTAATCCAACACAATTCATAGGCAAATATTTTACTTTTTTTCTCCACTTATTAGATTATATAAATTATCATGTAGGATAAAACAATAAGACTGTATTGATAAGAGAATATAATATGTTCCAGCAGTAAGTACTTTTATTTAGTTTCACCTTTATAATCCAAAAATAAAATATACAACAATCTGTCAATCAAAGTTAGTCATTCTGCATAACAAGTGATTTTACTTTGGGTACTAAGGATATTTTGTACTTGAACTTTGAATGCAGAACTTTAACTTATAACTGATTATTTGTACTGTGGCATTGCTACTTTTACTACTTTTATAAGTTTTGCAAAGAGCTCAACAGCAAATCAAACTATGCTTACATTAAGAAATGGTGACACCACAATAAGTGTGTGGTTGTAAACATCAAGAAGCAGTTTATAAATGGGCTTGGGTCAAGGTGTGTTGTAACACACTTCAGTGGTCAAACAGTGCATTGGAGAAATCGTCCTAATAAATTAAAGAGTTAACTTGCAACAAGAAAAGAATCATACTGGAGGAGGATATTTCGTAACGTGGCAACCCGAATGTAGTTCTTTTTAATGACTTATAACTGATGTATAAAGCTTAAAAGATATATTAACCATTAATAAAGCCAATAATTACAGCTTTTAAACTTTTTTTTTCCAGAAAGTGGTACCAAACTTCATAACCATAGCTGTTATGACAGGGATGTTGTATTGAATTACAATAGAAAGTACAGATTGTAGGCTACATAATAATGTGAATACACATCAGATAATGAGTAATGAGTATAAGAAGGAGGTATGACTTGACTGAATAGTTTGTGCCATAGTAAATCAAAGAGCTGTTATTATAAGAAACGTGAAACATCACAAAGACACTGTAAACTCAGTACTGATCACCACATATCCACTCTCAGTCCTACAGGAATAATAATAGGAATATTCCAGTGATTTCTTTAGAGGTTTGACAGTTTCACGCCTTTAAGAATCGAAGAAAAACCATAAAAGTCTATTGAACTCTTAATAAAAAAAAAAGGCGTCAATTTATGATCCAAGTATCAGAATGAATGGATCTTACCTCCCATGTTGTTGCTGCTGTCACAGCCTCTAGCCCGTGAGTGTTGATCTGCTCCAGGTGGTGCAGCAGGTGCATTTACCGGGGCGGAGCATCGAAACTTTCCCGATCCTGTTGCACGAGCCTGTGACTGTGTCATCGAGGGAGAATGTCTAGAATAGACGGACTCGTTTTTTTCTCCATTGAATGTTTAGCCTGTTGTTTTGACTTCAGGGGAAAACACACCTGTCCTGTAACCCTGTGACAAATGAAAACACTTTATTGTGAGGTAAAACGTACTTTAAAATGCGATAAAGGCACTATAAAGTAAATATAAGTGAGTGCCACAGACTGTCGATTGAGTGTTGTTACATCTGACATATCGTAAAAAGACGCATGTTCTTTGTACAGACTAATAAGTGTTAAAATTGGCTGCTGTACTGTGTAATCTCAGGTTGTCTTTAGAAAGGAGGCTCAACCGGTCCATCTGCCCCAGCTAAGCCAGGCCAATACCAGCAATGCAAATTTCAAAATAAAAGCAGAAACGCTGTGTGTGTGTGTGTGTGTGTGTGTGTGTGTGTGTGTGTGTAATGAAAACTGGCACGGTTCAATGTCATATTAGACATATATTGCACAATGATGGAAAAAGAACTCAGATATTTTACTCAAGTAAAAGTACTACAGCCACAGGCTAGAAATACTGTAAGTATTGCAACAAAATGTAATTTAAGTATAAAAGTAAAACTGAGGGGGCAAAACGGCCACTGTCAGAAAGACTGTAAATTATTATATATTACACCATTAGAAAACTGCTACTGATGCATTAACATGTAAACATTTTATTATAGGTGCCTGAGATGCAGATTATTCTGGCAATTGTATGTGCTCTTTTCTGGTTAAATTCATTGTATAACAACACATCATATTTTAAATACTCATTATAGGTTGTTTAATATCGTTACCTGTAAAGTAACTGGTAACATAGCTGTCAAACCAATGTGGTGGTATAAAGTAGAATAAAATGGAAAAATTCCAGTTAACTACCTTAAAACTGTATTTAAGTACAGTACTTGAGTTAGTGATACCTTATTGAGATTTAAATTAATTTTAATTTGACTGAAGTATTTACACTTTTGGAAGAAATATCTGTATTCACAATCATTAATCAAAATTGTCTCTACAGCATACACAATCTATTATTACTTGTGACCATGTCAGTGTTTCTGAAATGCTTCATTGAAGAACAGAAAAAAACATTTCCTCCCTTTTTACATTTTTTAAAATTTATTTAACTTTTTATATCTATTTAATTTTTTCGTGTTTTAATTAAATAATAATAATAAATAATTCAGCTAAAAATAATTTTTGCCATATCCCTCTTTCCCCTATTAAAATCAAGAGTACAATTTTCTGATAATGATAAAACCCTCTTTATTCTTTTTATTCATATACAAAAACAGATATTGTCTGTGAGGGAATCACATTATTTTACAAAAATAAATGACAAATAACAACAAAATGTAATTTTGACAAAAACAAACGTGTAAATGATTCAGTCACCTTGTTCTGTTTCATTATTCAGAAATTTCTTATAACTTACCGATGATACAATCTAGACCAGTGCAAAGTCATTGAGGTAAAATATGAAAATATATTTATTCTTTTTATTGATCTGAAAAAACATATGAGGAATAGCAACAATGATATTAGTAATAATCCATGAATATAAAATATATTTTTTAAGTGAATCACAAGTATTGTCTTTGTGAATTTCTTTGATTCATCTGAAGCAGGTTTGTTATGGTGCAGATATAACAGTTCACTTGTTGCATAATCAACATTGTTCTAATACAGTATCTATCATTACATGATATTGTGCTGGTGACTAAATCGAGAATACTGAGCAGTATTGGACGTTGCTCTGGAGAAAAGCCTCAGCCAAATATAAACACTGTAGACACCATAAAGCAATGCAGGTCACTTTTGCCTTAAGTGACTAACTTTAGCTTTGAGTAATTTTCAGTGAAATAACGGCTGAAATAAATGTGTTGTGGAAGTGTGGGTGAAGTCAAAGATCTTGTTGCTAGGTCATTCTGAACAGGACAGTCCAGCACAACCAGAAACATGAAACCTGAGCTGCTCTTTGCAGGGGATCTGTGTTTTAACGATAATGACCATAACAGTGAAGTCTCCTGTGCTTTCGTTGTACAGCACACTGCCAAACAAGTTAGATGTGGCTCAAATGTCAGTGAGGTCCACCTTTCAACAGCCCTGTTTCCATTATGGATGAAAATCTACCATGAAGAATTCACAGGCAGTTTCTTTAGGGAACAGTATGTGCTGCTTTCAACAAATAACACATAATTCTCGACAAACACAGACATGAGGAAGTCCACGAGGAACCATCAAGTCTTGATCAGATCTTTTCAACATAGTTACCAGGGAAGAGACCTTCCCTTCCTTGGATCCTGCCCGTCCACCAGCCTGATGGATCTGCAGAGAAAATAACGATAGAGACATATTGTTAAACAGCGGCAAATCTATCACATCAATCAAATCGCTTTAGAGTCTCCTCTGATCCACACACCTTCTTTGACCAGGTCAAAGACATCATTGACCTCGAAGCTGATCTCGTCCGTGTCCTGGCCAGTGTACTGATATAACGCCCGGCAGCGAGGCCCCTGGGGTTGAGGCTGCGGTTTAGGAGCAGGAGGAGGTCGCTGATTGATGCTCCTTTTCCTCTGCTTCCTGTGACAAAGAGAGAGAAATGACAAAGGGATGAAAGGAGCTGGAGATGACAGGAACTTGTGAAATTTCTTTAAGACTGGCTGGACAAACAGGGAGAGTAACACCACAGAAAAACAGAGAGCCGGGGCATCATTGTTGCAGGTCCTCAACACTTTCTAGATCTTTTATAGATAATTTATAAGTGTCACTAATGATTTCATAAATGTCCATCAAATTATTTACTTAATGATTTCATATATGTCCATCAAATTATTTACTTGGCTTTATAAATCAGAACCAGTTTTATAAAAATAACAAGAAATATTCTTAAAAATTTAGTAAAAATTTACTTTTGAATCAAAAAATCTTAGCAAAAAGTTGCAGTTGGGCGCTTTACATAAAAAACCTACAAGTAACTTTTGGCAAAGTCTGACCGCACAGACTCCTGAGTGTTGGAAAAAAGGACTACAATAATGTCTACTCATAACACCCTTCCTCAAACACTGACTCAGCCAGTAGGAAGGCTCCTAAAGGCCTTGCAACATCATATTAATCAATTGTATGAAATGTTTTACTTTATTACTGAATATCAAATATAATTCTAAGAAAAAGAGAATTAGAATTTAGAATTTTGGTGCAATAAAGAGCAAAGGTTTTGGGTTTCTAGGCTGTAAAAAAAAATCACTGTCACTGGTGCTTATCCTTCCATCTCTGTTATACATCTATTAATAGATGCCCATGGGTTTTTGACTTTCTAACTACATTGGCAGTTATAAATGTTATCAAATGGATAATAATGGGTTTATAATCCATCTAGTCTGTGGCTGTAAATGTTAATAAGTTATAATGAATTGATTTTGGTCCATATCTCCTTCAGCTGTCTTACAGAAGTAGTCAAAAGGACTATTCACATTCCCGCTACTGATCTATAAAACTAGTTTATTAACTATTAATAAAGCCGTTAGTTACATTTATAAACCTTTTTTAATGGGTGTTCGTTACCATTTTCTTCTTTTAGCACAGGTCACGTTGAAATAAACAGGTTTACGATTGTTGTCTTGGTATTCATTTGTTCTGGCTCACTGAGCGTTGAGCCTCACCTTGACATGCCCTGACAACTCATTAAGCCCGTATACACCAATTCTTAGTGACTAATCAGCTCCACCCACACATGCTGCAATCACCCTTCCTTTGTTTTTTCATATTTCATGCGGCGATCTCTCTCACCCTGACATGCCCTGGTCAGGCACATTAAGGAAGTCCAAGTTCCCTTGGTTGTACTGGTTGTGTGCTGGGGCTCTTGGCGCTTTCTGGGAACCCAGTTTGGGCAGGGCTGTGCTGGGTGGCCGGCCCTGTTTGTGCGGGGAGGAATATGTGGTATCTGACGGTCGGTTGTAAGGGGCTCTGGAAAACTGGGCTGCTCCATTCTGGTGTGCTGAGGAGAGAAAAAGTGGACTAAAAGTAAGATTAACCCCCCAAAGTAGTTTAAGACTTTAGCACGCCTGAAACCTTGCAGAAATTCTACTCAGATATTAACTTAAGTATCAAAAGTACTCTTAATGCAGACAGAATGACTCTTGTCAGTGTTATACTGATGCATTAGTTTACTTTGTACATAACATTTATGTTATAGCTTGTTGAAGTTTATTTTTACTTTACTTTACTTACTTTATATACTTTTAATCTATAACCATAAGTCATATTTTACAAGATGATCATCCACTTTGAATATCTTCAAAGTGACTAGTAACTGCAGCTGTCAAATAAATGTAATGATGTACAATATTTGCCTTTGTAAAGCAGTGGAGTTGAAGATTAAATAGCATAAAATGCTAATACTGATGTAAAGTATGGCTACCTAAAAGCTTAAAGCTTAAATATAGTACTTGAGTATATGTACTTAGCTACTTTCCACCAATGGGGATGTTTTTGTCAAGTCTAAAAGGGTCATGTATCATCTGCATATAATGATGAAAATGAAAGAGTTACCTCTGTTGGCAATATGATTTCTCCCTCCACCATAAGACTGTGGGGCACTTTTCCTGGTTGGCTCTAATAAAATAAATGCTCAGTTACAACAACATTTGGACATACGAGACTCAATGCATGATACCATTTTCATCTTTGTTTCTCTCATGTATGACATTTTTTATAAAGCTAGCATCACCCATCCGTATTCCTTCCAAAGTTGGTACATTATTTTCTTTTGACTTACTGGAAGACTTAGGTAGACCGTCTCCTACTGTGATGGTGAGGGTCTTCCCTCCAGGTTTGAGCTGGGACAGGTCTCCTTGCCCCCTCTGGAAGACCACCACCCTTGAGCCTCCTCCACCCCAGCCCTCCTTCTTCACTCTGAACTCTAGTCTGAAATGAAAGAAGATGTGTTAGTGGTCTGTGTGTGTGAGTTTCTGTGCAAATATAGGCTGT